TCACATTCAAACCGAACCCAGACTGAGGTATGGAGGACCAGAGGTCAGAGGTTGATTAGCGTTCACACCTCACCAACCGGACCGGACTTTGACTAGACAAATGGACTGGACTTGGACTCCCTCCGGGTTCAGAGCACCAACTCTGTTCTGGATATTGATTATCAGATCATTCCTGGTTTCCATGGAGACGGTCGGTGGCAGACTCTCGGCCGTTTTAGAATAAAAACGTCTCGTTTCCTGAATGAAGATTTTTCTGCTGCATCTGAGGTGAAAATGTGTTCATGCAACAGAAACATGAATCCAGATAATGCACCAGAAGCTCTCCACCCCAATTATTTACCTCCATATCAGAGCCTGCTGAGTCCACACACACACACACACACACACACGAATAAACACCAATAAATGTTTATTTGGTTGATAGTAATGGAGTAAAAATCGAATCTGAACTGAGTTTCAGGGAGTTCAGGATTATTTTATATAAACCAGATTTTGAATTTACAGGCCTGTTGAGAAGTACCACTGCCTAACGTTTGTTTTAGGGTTATTTAATTACTGGGGCTACTTATTTATTAGAGTGGGGTTGGGGAGCCGTTTACTTATTTATATTTTGTAAGATGTGTGTGGAAGCACTGGTGTCACTTTTACCTCTTATGTACTTGGAAATCTGTTACTACCACTGAATGCTGTAATCCAAACATAATTTTGTTGCCTTTTTTGACAATGACAATAAATCCTTTGATCCAGGATGGAAGGGCCACTTTATTAGGAACACCTGTCTAAATCTAAATGTTTACTTTCACTGAATCAGCCAATCACACAGCAGCCGTTCACTGGAAAATAAACTCAGTAACCATTGATGTTTGTGTGTCCAACCTGAGGGTCAGGGGTCAGTTCAAAGATGAAACCTTTTACATTTAAGATAAAACCCAGTTTGAGCTTCACCTGTTAGAAAATCTATTAATCACTTTTACATCCAGTTATCAGTTAATCAATAATTAATCTCAGATCAATCCTACACTCTGCTACAATGCTCTTCTTCATTTTAGACAATAACATGTTTATGTTCTTACTTAAAAACAAATTTGTTTATTTGCATTGTTTATATTTATAATATTGTATAAAATAAACTTAACTGATAACTGTTTTATAAATCTGTCAATAATCAATACTAAAGTAGTTAACTGAAGTCCGAAATGCTGTTAATAAAAACTAGTCAGATTCAGATGTTTACCATTATGGATCCAGCAGCAGGTCCAGGTTCTGGACCCGCCCGGAACCCAACGCTGCAACTTCTTCAGAGTGTATGAATAATTCTGAGCCTGAATGGGTCAAAGAAAATCCGGAATAAAAACGAACTGGTCCCAAAAAGTCCGAAAAGGTCAATAATAACCCGGAACGGGGTTCGGATAAACAATTATTATTAATAATATGAATTGTCCACAGCAGGGAAACATCTGCCAACGCATTTCCGAGCCGAACCGTTCTGCTGGTTCGGCTGGATCGGGAGCGGCTCCTGGTTAAAGCTCTGTGTCGGTTCCGGTGGTTCCGACACTAAAACCCCAGAAACAGGCTCAATCAGAGGGAAGTCCGGCCGGCTCCCTCTGGGTACCGGATCTTCATCAGAACCGCTCTCTGTTTGAACAACCCGTCCGGAACCAGAACCAGACCTCCGCGGAAGTTTCGCAGGGAAGCGGGACCGAGCAGCGGGTTCTTACCGGAGTTGGCACCGGGAGGCTGGCGGATCTCCGGCTCCCGGTCACGCTCATCTCCCCGGGCTTCCTCAGCTCGGTGATCCGCGCGGCGGCGGCGGCTGCCCGGCGTCCCGATCAGCGGCGCGGCGGGGCGGCATGCCCGGAGGCTCGGCGCGGATCCGTGGAGTGGAGGCTGGGTCTGCAGGAGGAAGAAGAGGAGGAAGAGCTGCTGCTGCTCCTGCCGTCAGGGATCCTCTGCTGCTCAGGACGCCCACCTGCGGCCCGCAGCCTCCTGTTGACCCACCCTGCGTCAGAGAGCATTAACCCGTTCATTGGCTGCTCGCTGCAGGAGGTCCAATCAGAATCCCTGGCTTCTCATCGATCTTTCTGGCGACATGAAACCGGAGATCAATTAAAAACAAAGTTGATCAGAGGCGGACTGAGGCGGCAGGTGGCCCTGGGCGGCTCCAGTTAGCGGCCCCTCATGTTGACCCTCCCTGTCCTGAGAGGCGACCTGCCACCCTGTCAGAGCAGCAGTTACTTCTGCTTTTTCCTTCCACTCAATTTTCTATGAAGATGCTTACACTTTTATCGAATATTGTGTTTTTCTGAGATACTCTCTGTGAGCCAAAATAAAAACTCAGAGATCATTTAAAAAGAGAAACCAGAGCTGGTTATAGTGAGATTTATATAGTTAAAACCAAAAATATCTTCTCAGTTAAATCAGAAACAGCTGATGGGATTTCTAGATGTGTGGAATAAACAGGAAGAGAAGACGACAAAGTGACACTCTTTAGATGATGCAAGATGACCGTATTTTTATAACTTAAAACAAATTTTTGTTTTAACAAGATATGAAACTCATTTTAATTAAGAAACTGTTGGTCAAATATTTATGTTCCTGAATTTTGGCAGTTAAAAACTTCCGTATAAAATGACAATAAAGGTTTGAATTATTTCACTTCATCTGTGATGAATCTAGATAAATGATTCTTTCTTACCAGACGTTGAACTTTATCACTTTATTTCTTTTAATCTGTTTACATATTTATTTCCTCTTGGGGATTATTTTATGAAATCTGTTTTTGTTTTTCGCTCCAGTTCACAGAGAGAAGCCTGATAAATCCAACCTGTCCTCCACGTTTGGAGTTTTCTTCCAGGGTTGTGTTGCTGAATTCGTCTCGGCTCCGTCTGGATCTCCCTGGTGAAAGTTCTGGATATTTAGCCAGATAAATATTTAGATCCAAGCTAAATATCTAGCAAATTAACCGAATATTAAGTTTGACGCTAAATATTGAGCACCGTTTGGGTCAGTTATTGCCCAGTTAATCTGAAAAACAATGTCCAGATCAGACCTGCAGCATTTCTGCTGAACTCAACATGTTGATGTCAAAACCTCTACCTCCAGATGGATAACCCCAAATGATTAAGAACTTGGTAAAGAAACTTTAGGCAGTAAAATGTTTAAAAATGTGTAAGTGGTTAAATAAAAATCAATGATATGTCTTATTATTTTCAGTCCATCTGTTCTCTGCTGATCTCCAGATCATTGCCACTCGCCGTGCGGCTCAGAGAACTCCAGGTTCACCTGTTCTCACCGACACCAGGAGACAAGATGGCTGCCAGTGATCTGGGTCAATCAAGCCTTCATCAGCCACTCAGCACCGCAGGACTCCATCCGCTGTGCGTCGTGATGTCTGATAACTGCAGGATCCCAAGTGGATGGAGATTTTCCACAGATGTGTTTATAGATTATATTTATAAGCTACAAACTAGAGCAGAGTCAGTCTGATTAGCAGTTTCTGCTGTACAACACTGCAGAACGTATGCTAGCCAAAAATCAAAGTTCTGATTCAGCTACATATATAGCTGGTTCTGAGCTAAACATTCAGCTAGCTCTGAGCTAACGCACTTTGAGCTAAATATTAAGCTAGCACTGAACTAAGCTTTCAACTAGCTCAGAGCTAAGCTTCCAGCTAGCTCTGAGCTAAATATTCAGATATTGCTTCCTGATTGGTAGAGAAAGTGTGTGATCAGGATGCTTACTAAAGATTAAAGGAACACAAAAACTCAAAATAGGGGAAAACCCCCCATAAAATATAATAAATTTAGACGAAATCAAACTGAGTCAAAGCAACCAACCTGTTCCCCTCGTCGCCTGTGAGGGCGCTGCACCAAGAACCACTAAAGGATATGAAAACCTTTACTTAAAATCCTTGTTCCTTTCGTGAACAAGGATTTTAAGTCTTTTGCTAAAGACCAGGAGTCATTTATCCTGCTAGCGCTAGTCCAGGGGTCATGAACTCTAGTCCTCGAGGGCTACCATCCTGTAACTTTTAGATGTGTCTCTGGTCAAACACACCTGGATCAAATTAACTCCTCATTTCCAGCCTATTGCAGAGAGGAATGAATGCTGGTGAGGGAGTTCAGACATTTTGGAGCAGAGGTGAATCTAAAAGTTGCAGGATGGCAACCCTGTAGGACTGGAGCTGGTGACCCCTGCGCTAGGCTAACACATTAGCTTTGGTTGTATTTGCTGCTGTAGTCCACTTCTTGTTTTTCAAACTGCACCAAAGCTCACTTAAACTGAACCAAACCCTGTGTGTGTGTTCAGGTTTATTTCATAAACACACATCGGCCTCCTAAACCCTGAGCTGTTGCCATGGCAACCTCAATCTGCCGCACTGGAAACCAGAGAACCAGATTGATGAATGAGCTTCCTGTCCTCCAGGCTTGCTTCAACCGAACCACATGTGGAAATATCCTTAAACGTAATGACATGCCGAGCAGCTAACGGCTAATCCGCTCAGCCGCTTTGTTAAAGTCGATTTTTAATTCCAGGTGAAGGAGCTGAAGTGGAACGAGCAATTAGAAACTCCATCAGGAAGAAGCCGCAGAGTTCAGCTGAGGCTCGGATTAGCGCCGCTGCTGTCCGACTTTCTCTAATGCATCGTTATCACAGCCAAGACCTTCGTTACCTGATGTGAAGAAAACTTAGTCCTCCTGTCCAAAACCACAGAATATTCAGAACCAAAGCAACAGAAAACCTTCCCAACCAGAGGAAAGCCTGAAGGAGAGAAAATCACAATGCAAACTCATGAAAGATGAAACTCCAAAACACAAACGCAGCAGAAAAACACAAGAAAAAGAAGCAAAAAAAAAAAAAAAAGAGGTAGTTAAAATTAAACTGCTAAACCAAAAGTACTGGAAGCTAGAGCTAAACGGCTGAACACAGAAACATTATCGGAAGCTGACACCAAACCACTAACAAAAACATTGGCTGAAACTAACACACAGAAATTTAGCTGAAGCTAATGCCAAGTACAAAAATAGCAGAACCTAAAGCTAAACCTAAAAAATAAGTAGTGGACGCTACTGCTAAACTGTTACAAATTCACAAAAGTAGCTGAAGCTACCACAGTGAACCCTGTTGAGAAAATAAATTTAAAATAAGCTAGTTTTAAAACTTAACATGTCTTGATTCAAATGCCCTAATTGTGGTTTTGAAATCAGTAACTTATTCTGGCCTATTGACCTTTATGTTACCTGTAGTTACAGCAGATGGTTTGCTAGGATCGTTTGAACTGCCTTTTGTCTGTGTGGGAAAACAATCAGGAGAAGTTCCAGCTTTTCACACTCATCTGTGAAAAGCCGTAAACACGGCAGGAGTTTCTGGCTTCAGATAGAGGGTCAGAGATAGCTCCTGGTTGGATGAGCAAAGATACGCCTTATTTGAATAAATTAAAGAAAAGAAGATAAAACTTTCTACACAGAAGTAACAAGATTTGCTCTTGCAACTCTCCAAAGATGTCTTTGCACGTCTTTGCTTTTCTTCTTCTTTCCATTTATGTCAGGTAAATGAATGTATGTCTCCGTTGTTCTGCAGTTTCTGGTGTAAGTTTGTGCATTGTCTTATATTGGATTAAACTCTGTAATTCTGTGACGTCAACACGCATTGTTGTTTTCCTTGTGGCTACACGTGGCTCGCCGAGAGGACCTGGGATCCAGAGGAAGAGAGAGCCAGACTTTTTCCAAAGTTAACTAATTTAGAATATTCTTCCTTAGTGACGCATAACAGAATTAGCAGAAGTTTATCGTCTCATCTGCTTCCTGTTGAGACTGATGTGAGACTTGCTAACAGGAAAGTCCTCAGTTTCTGAATCTGCTACATTTTATTACTTTAAAGTTGTATGAAGAGGATTAACAGACATCTGATGAGACAGTCTATAAGTCATGGAAACGACAATAGGCTTAAAAAGTAAAAAAATGGCAGCCATCCTAAATGATATTGAAGTGGCTGATTGGGAATGTAAAAAGATATTTTATGCTTATATTGACAAGATTTTTTACAGTTATAACTTTGTCTCATTTAGCTCAGATGTTGGGAATAAGCAAATCAGAAACGGATGATATATAACGTAACCTTCTGAATGACTTCTTGTGATTATTACCAGGGGTGAAACTATACATATATATATATTTATAATGTTGACTGGCTATAATGACTGGCTGCCATGTTGAACCTTGAGATGCCATGAGACCTAAATCCTGAACTTCAT